GAGTACTAGTTTAGGATGTTAAACTAATGATAAAGTACTGAAACTCAATCAGTTGATGTGGTTGCGACTTGTGTTGTGTATGTCTAACCACCGACTGCCTCGACGAGCGATGTTTTGTGGTGTAAGATTAGGTAGGAAGAAAGCTAGGTGTGACCAAACGAAAGTATGGCACAAATCCATGCGGTCACTGACAAGTGAGTTGTGTCATGTTGACAGGTGTAAACTAGCGGTTTGTGGTCCGCGATATGAAACTAGTGGATGGTTAGAGATCTTGAGTGACATGGCTGAAAAACGTTTGCTATGGCGCAGGTGCACCCATTATTTGAGGTCTCTCAAATTCTCATCTTTTGAAATCCACATCACCTCTATCTTCCTCTGTTTAAATTTATTTCACAGAATTATTCTTCTTGAATAACATCTTCGGACTGTGATCTTTGCGTGATTTCAATCACCTTACACAAATTAACAGTAATAGGTCACGTCATTGAGGTGCTACTCGTATCTCCTCACTCATCAATTTTTAGCACTATTTTTCTTCATTTTCTTTTGTCAGCCGCCTATCCCCCTATCTGTAAACTACCTATCAACTTACACATATCTTAAAATTTATATCAGTGGTTAACTCAATAGCAGTGTGATATGCTACATAGATATGTAGTCTAACATGCAACATGTTTGGTTTGCTTGTAACATGGAGCAAGCAGAGACATTGAAATCCTACAATGTGCACAAAAATGGAGCTTAGATTAAAAACATTATCCAAAGTCTACCATCATGCGTAAGAGACCCTAACAGCACAAAAGGTGGGAGGGTGGTGTATCTGACCAGCATTGATGACGGTGGGGCGATAACCTCAATCTACCCGTGTTTGTATGGCAGAAAATTTCTTTCCTTACGGCTCATTACGATATAGCAGGATGTAACTAATCAATGGAATTGATGCTACTTTTCCTTGTTACCCATGTCTACGACTCATGTTTATAAACTTGCACTGGTTTCACTTCGTACCGAGAAATCCTATTGCAAGAAAATCTAGAAAATTATGGTGAAAACGAACTCACTCGTGACTTCTTGAGAGACAGCTGTTACGTCCAGTTTTTTGCTCGTTGATCTTACGAAGCACTGTTGTCGTCTATTTGTAATTCACGGTCCCAAATTTCTATACCAAGAACGAAACTCCAAAGTAGATACCAAAGTTTATTCCAAATCACAAATTCGACCAAAATATTTTATTACAAATAGACGACCAATGTCGTTCTTCTAATTTATTATCTCTTGGAGCAAAAAACTGCAACGAACAACAAAGAGAAACGGGAGTCCAATATGTCCGCAAATAATAATTCAAACAAGTTCATAAGTTAAGTAAAACAAATATACCCAAAAGACAGTGAAATTAATGATATTTATACATGAAGGTTTTGATCAGCAAAATGTCTTCGTTTCTCCCGTAACAACAGCGTTAAAAAGAAAAAGGATAAATAAAAAACCACTATAGCATCAGATCATTGTGAATTATCATTATTATATTTTGGTAATCAGTATTATTTCTAACAATTCAGTTCTTCTGAATTTCCTCTATTCATACGATTAAATGACCGTTCATTATCTTACTAGTGACTAGTCTTCAGTAACCTACATAAGTGCAGGTGTACAGTTAGTTTCCCAATACAGAACGTCTGAGTAAGCTTACCTTTATTTTATCCAAAAATATTATCTGCAGAGTCCTGACTCAGCTTTAAACAAGAATATTTTGTGTTCTGCTTCTCAACCCTTTCTCCTTATCTTTTTCACTGCCTTACTCTAATCCTTAAACTTTAGTCCGAATAATAGCCCAAGACATGGTTACTTTGCCCAGGAGCCTGTAAATTTATTATCTCATGAATATCAACAAGAAGTTCTTTGCATATTTACTCCATCAGTTATTATCATATGTAGACCCGAATTTACCTTGTATTGGTTCTCGGCCATTAGTGGTTCGTCGTAACGTAACCATCGTAACTCTCACCGACTATCGCATTGTACATGGCAGAGTCCGAAACACTATCGCTCATAGGGTTTATAAATAAGAACTTGTTGACATATGAGGCTAAGCTTACAATGTTCAAAATGTGTATAAGGCTGTGCCTTGAATGCCGCTCACTTATATTTTCGAACATGAATATCATAGACACGGCACCGGCAGAAAATGTCGCAGGAGGCTTCATGTGGTGGCTTCTAGGACGAAACCGTATATTCGACTACACAGAAAGATGAAGTTAGTATGAGAACAGCTCACCGCTCTTCTGCAAAACAATATATGACCTCTCGTCTGTAACATCCTGCCCAATTATAAACCATGACCCTAATTACAGTCTACATGAAGAAGATTTTTCTCACGTATTAATAAAGTTATTTGACTACATTATACAAAAATATGTTGTCCATTTCACTATGTTGTTCTTGCTTGTAAATTGGCATGTTTCTTCCTACATGTTGTTATTTGAAAATAAATAGCAACAATTATAATTATGATGAGCACACACAAATTACTTTGCACCTCGATCAGCAACGCACGGCACAAACGCAAAATCATGTTCTCGTCGATTTAATACACTACACAAACTAAATCTGTTTGAATAATGTGTTTGAAAATCCGACAATTGTTGTTACTCCAGAGGTGCACCAGATGTACTAAGGAAAGAAAATCATCAAACTTGGATTATTAGTTGACAAGTGATCAGCTCCTGGTCGCGGACGTCCTCGTCCATACACCAATAGTATGTGGTGACCGTGCACAGTCATGTTTAACATGGTCCTACGTTTACTACACTGGGGCACATTACGCGTGCATGAGAGGGAATCCTTTGCATGCTCTATGGCCACGAGAATGAAGGGGGATCACAGTAGATAATCACTGGTAAACATTGAAAGGCACTTGATAAAAGAAGAACTTCGGTTAATCCAAGCAGTGAACACTTGCCACAGGCGAAAAGGAGGGCCTGGAGCAGGTGGAAGTATTCCAACCATAGTCCTCACTTGGCATTGAGAAACAGACGCAATTCCTAAGTTCGAAGTGATAGGAAACACCTCCAGATGTAGCTAGCTGCCAAAATACTGTCAATCACAATATATCTGCTTCGGTTCATGACTAAAAGAAAACCTACGGACTAGAGTGTTTGTGCCCTCAAAGGTCCAAAAGGCGAAATGCAAACTGGCCTCGAGATGATTTAAATCTTCAGCGATCAGTTAAAACAAGTACCTACACTTTTAGAGTACTAATCAAACCTAGCGCAGGATGAAAACCTGGGGATTATTCCACTTACTCCTCACTCAAGCAAAGTCACCAGAATCTGACAACAATCGCTCGATAGTCATGAAACAATGTGCTGGAAACAATGGGTCGCAGTAAGTACCATCACAGGAAATGGATCTCTGTTGGTACTCTTGAAAAAATTGAAGAAAGGAAGAACAAAAAGGCGGTAATCAACGTCAGCCGAACAAAAGCAGCGAAAGTTTAGGCAAAAGCTGCATACACAGAAGCAAACAGAAAAGTAAAGAAGAGCATCAGAGCTGACAAACGAAAATATGTGGAAGGTCTAGCAATGACGGCGGAAAAGGCTGCAAGGGACGGAAACTTGAGACAATTGTACGATACAACAAAGCAAGTAACTCTTGAATCAACCAGCTCCACTGAACCCACCCAACATCGAAGCAGCATCCACGGACCTCCCAATTAATATTGGCACACCTACGATTGAGGAGATCAGTATGGCCATCAGACAAATCAAGAGCGGCAAACCAGCAGGACCAGACAACATTCCAGCATAGGCAATCAAAGCAGACGTGGAAGCAACTGCATATATAATTTACATTCTTTTCAAGAAGATTTGGGATGAGGAACAAGTACCGTCAAACCGGAAAGAAGGATACCTGATCAAAGTAACAAAGAAAGGCGATCTGAGCAAGTGTGAAAACTACAGAGGCATCACTCTTCTTTCAATACCAGGCAAATTCTTCAACAGAGTATTGTCAAACAGAATGAAGGACTTCGTAGACGCCCAACTTCGAGACCAACAGGCCAGATTTCGTAAGCATCGATCGTGTACTGACCAAATTGCTACATTACGGATCAGTGTGGTACAATCAGTTGAATGGAACTCACCACTCTACATCAACTTCATCGACTACGAGAAAGCATTTGATAGCGTGGATAGGAAAACACTGTGGAGGCTTCTTCGACACTACGGTGTGCCTGAGAAAACAGTTAACATCATACGGAATTCTTATGATCGATTCAACTGCAAAATCGTACACGAGGGACAGCTAACAGACTCTTTCGAGGTGAATACCGGTGTCAGGCAAGGTTGCTTACTCTCACCCTTTCTCTTTCTCCTGGTGATCGACTGGATTATGAGGAATGCTCTCCCAGCCGAGGTGAACACAGTCCCCTCAACGAACAGCTTCAAGAAGAGACTTGATAAACACATACTCACATACGGATTATCATCTCTCTCATCGACCAGCAGTGCTTGATGTATGTCTTGAGACTCGCTAGTTATTATTGCCATCTCCTCCGATCACTGACTGAATTTACCATGCAATTTATCTCTGATTTCCTCTTCCTTGCTTACACTTCGGCCTTGTGACACAATCTTCACTATCGATTCATAAACTAAATTATCTATTTATTTACTTAGTTCTGAAATCTTCTTTTTATTAGCATTAGACTTTTCTCCTTATTATTCTCCACATTGCAACTAACTGACCTCCGGCCTGATAAAGTGATAGCTGTCGGTATCCAGAAACTCTACTTTCCTAAAACAAGCGTATTCATTCAAATCACAGGACATACAAACGTACTAACAACTGCCCACTTACTAGAATTAGTGCAGTCGAGTGGCTAGACCCCAATCCATTCGACACTATCAGACAACTGGAACCGTACTGAAAGAACAAGAATCAAGCGCAGACGAATCGATTGGTTTATATTAGCTCGTGAAAAAGATATCGGTAATTGGACATATTTATCTTAAGTATAACCGAAGTTGAGATCTAAACATGCTCGTATGTTAGATATTGGGCATTGCGATTGGCGTCAAGTTCCGAGATAACGTTACAAACCTTACGTAGTTCGTATTCGCCTGTATGTTGCATAATATGATTGATAGGCTTCTTTATAGACTTTATAGAGTGTGCAGTCTATTTATTTGTTTATTACTGTCATACTTGATTGTTTATTTCCTTAATTACCTATAAAAGGAGTACTAGCGAGTGGAACTTTGGAAATACTTGTTCATCTACTTTGGTTATAGTGCAATTAACCACCACTTTCAGTTGCCACAGTTAGTAAACCAGAAGCCTAAATCTTAGCCATCATCTGACTCATTCTTTTTCAATTCTCCTTTTTGAACATATTCTCAGCTGTGATGCAATCAGTGTCTCGCATCACCTCTATCTTTCGCTTTTTATGTTTGTTTCACTTGATTACATTTCTCGAAACATGTCGTTGATCCCTAATCTCCTTGAAAATAGCTAATACTTTTGCTACATCTACTGGTATGGGATTTAAACTATTTGCTAATGTGGTCTGGCAACCTGGACAAGTGTGCGTACGTACGGAATTCTACATTGTTGCTGACAAATAGACTATGGCATCGGTTTAGTAGACCCTACTGTAGTCCATTGCGTCTCTCCAACCGAGAATAATATTCCAATAGTTATGGTGAAAAGAAGTGTTAGAAAGATCTTAATGTGACCGATTCGGTCTCGTGTGCTGTTATGGGTATGAGGGCGGATGTCACTTCCTGGCTGCCCACACCATGGAACGGTATTCCTTGAAGGACCTGAAAAGGAAATCGGATCGAAGTTGGTTATGGTGACCTGGAAGCGTGACGGCGGATTCCTAGGGACAACTGTTTGAGGCCGGTCACGCATGACCTTCTTATGGGATGTTTGTAGAGTGTATCCTCCGCTGTTTAAACGGGCTTTCCTTGGAGATGGTTTTCCGTGAGATCAGGTGAGTCTTTAAATCCTTGGGATCGAGCTTTCCTCAACTCATCTTCCGTTGTGAGACGGCCTCAGTGCTGCAGATGTGTGTTTGAAGGTAAACACTCTACTAATGTCACAATGGTATACATTTAGCAGTAGTACCTCGGATTCAGAATCCCCTCATAGTCTTATCTACCTTCCTGGAATGCCAGGTTGTAAAGGAATATGCGTTCCATGAGATATAGTTCAGTTCGGTCATCGCGATATACAGGTCAAATCAGCTCGTGTAGTCAACTATTTCGGTCGGGATTCCTACCAAGTAGTTGTCAACATTGGTAGCTTTGGAAAGTACCTAGCCCGACTAGTTGATGAGAGATATGTTTGCAGGAAGCTTATATATAATGTACAAGCTGCGCGAATGATTTTATGACAATTTTTGGACATGTGGCCGAACTTTTATAACTATTTTGGTTTACCCGCTTTGATTGTGGTAAGTTCGTAAAAAAATAATTTAAAGATGGTAGCGGTCACATACTATATTGAAAAACGTTTTATACTAGTGCTTTTTAAATGGTACTGCTACATTTTACCTCTATGCCTGCAGAAACATTAATGAGTGATATTTTATATCTTTGTGTGATCATTTAATGATATGATCTATCAACTGGCTTAGTTGTCCATTTCCTCTTTTACTTTATCTTAGTGAATCGTCCATTGTGTTGACGTTTCCCAGGAAATTACCGAAATAGATCAATTTGGAATTCACGGAAAATCTCACTCAAAATACCGAACTTTATCAGAATGTAAGTAACGGAAAATATTCAGTTATGCTTAAAGATCATTCACAACCATTATAAGCTTTCTACATAGAACATAATAAAGAGTCTCGTTTAAACGAACGTTGGTAAACTTGCTTCTGCAAAAAATGACGTCGTGTGTTTCATTTAATGAAAGTAGTGTCTTCAGCTTTTTGTCGAAAAAATGGGCTTTAGATTTCAATTCCAAGTATGTATGTATTTATATCGATGAATAATTTTTTATACAGATTACGTACTACTACTCCGAACCAAGCGAATACTCCTGAACTGAAGCATCCTCCAGGATATGTTGATCGTTCATTCCCAACTACTGCCGTTCGTGACTCCGACCCACATCTAATGCGTCAGCGAAGTTGGAACATTGCATTGGGACCATTCCGACAAGTTCCAATGAATCTGTTCATCATGTGGATTTCAGGCAGTTCAATATCGATATTTCCTTTGATGTCTGTGATTATGTTGTTTTTACGCCCATTACAAGCTCTTTTAGCTGCACAAGCTAGTAAGGTTTCTTTTCTTCATCGTTTGTTCATGATATTTTTAGTACAATCTTAGTACTTATTTGATGATTATTAGAGACAAGACTAGTGATATTGTTTGCATTATAAAATTTCGAACCATAACGATACATATCCGTCACTGCTTGAAGATAATAACACAAAATTAATTGTGATGACATCTAATCTTCACCTGATCACAGTAACGAAAATACAGAAGTGATAGTCATTCGACTTCATATTTCATTCTTTAGATTCTTGTAGGCCCCTCTCCCTGAAAATATCACCGTAGACCATAGCAAGCGGAAAAGTTGCATTGGGATATGTAATCAAACTATAATCTGAGCATATTTATGCGAAAGAAATTTTTCAAACCATAGAGTTTTCTGGTGACCTAGCGGCTAAGACATTGATTTCAACCAACCCGACCGTAGCTGCTACCTTGGCGTGGTGGTCGGGCTTGCCTATCGTGATGATTGAACATATGTTCCTGAAGGCTCTACAATACCAGGCAGGTCGATTGGAGAACGATGAGACAAGAACAACTACTCAAGGTCTGAGGGCGAAGTCGTACTGCTGACTGCAGAGGGCTGCGACAGAGGTAAGGTGTTTCCCTCGGACAACCAGCATCTGCAGCGATGCTGCCTTCTCACAAGGAAGGAAGGGTTAGAAAAGGTCGACACTAAAATTGTTACACTTAACCCTACTTCACGGGTTTCCGTATTCGGCGGTAAGGGTGCCCAATAAGGGCTTGTAAGAGCGGAGCTAATACTCAAAAAACCTTCCATATAAAGGCCGTGTGTGACCGGCCTGAAGCAGTTATCCCTTGAACTCCACGGTTACGCTCTCAGGTCTCTAAGACCAACGCTAATCTACCTTCGTTTTCAGGTGCCTCAAGTAACAACCTTCCAGTGTGGGAAGCCGAGAAGTGACCACCGCCCTCATACCGTAGCAGCGCGCGAGACCGAATTGGTCAAAATCAAATCCTTACTATACCCCCTAATATCTTTATTATTTCCACGACTAACCCTTCTCAGATTCCTTTATCACACTGCACAGCTAATGCAAACAATGCGAGTTCACGAAACGTGAACCCTGGTCTCCTGAAACGTCTTTCTAAATTACATGTTGGAGCATTTAATGTACGGACAGTGTGTCAAATAAGGCAAAAGGCATCATTAACTAGGACATTAGAATCTCGCTCAATCGATGTATGCTACGTCTCGGAAACGCGCATACAGGATCCTAGTAAAATCATTAATTTGATTTCACCTTATCAAAACAAAGAAGCAGCCCAATTTACACTTCGTGCATCCGGTAGTCCTGATGCTGCTTCCCGGGGTCTCGCTGGTGTAGGCATAGCATTGGGCCGTAGGGTAGAACTAGTGCTCCTTGGCTGGACCCAGTAGATAGTCCCTTGTGCGTTGTCCGACCAAACGGGACAGTAAGGACTCGGAAGGATAGGGACACTCGCCGTTGCCTCTTCGTCGTATCTGCCTATGCCCCCACTGACTGCAGTGCAGAGGAGGTTAAAGATGAGTTTTACAGAAAGCTTTCGGACCTCCAAAAAGTTAGGCACTCTGATGTAGTAATAATGGCTGGTGACTTTAATGCTCAAGTAGGTAGACTAAGTGAAAATGAAAGACACCTAGGTGGATGTTATGGTGTCGCGGCTCAGAGAACAGACAATGGCGACCGTCTGTTGCAAGTATGCTCAGATAACCGCCTATTTCTAGCAAACACTAACTTTAGGCATAAGGAAAAGCATCTGTTGATCTGGCGACCTCCAAAGTCGTCTCAACGTTGGACCCAACTAGATCAAATAGCCATCAGCCACGGATGGAGAGGTGTTCGATAGAACACTGTCGCTCGTTCTGGTGCACACGTTTAGATATAGATCATGCCCTAGTGCGAGCGCGTATTTGTTTGAAGCTTACTGGACGCAGGAAAGACACCGTCAGAAAGCCTCTTAGGGCTTCAATTAATATATCCCAGGAACAACTAGAAAGAGATTTAGACAACCATGTAAGTGATTTCCATCCGGAGGCAGGTTGGAATGCTATCAAAAAGGCTGTGTAAACAGCAGCGATATCTGCTAGCAAGGTAAACCATAAGGTTAGGATGAAGCCGTGGATCTCAGTAGCATCCACCGAACTGATGGATGCTCGAAAACTCATCCCACCTGGCTCTGGACATAATGAAAAGCGAAGTAAGCTTAAGCGCATGCTGATAAAAAGCCTACGCAACGACCGTGAAAAGCTGTGGGTGGCGAAAGCGATGGAAAAGGCAGCGGTGATAGGCAACAGTAGACAACTTTTCCGACTGACCAAGGAAACTGGTATTAGGAACCCTAATGTGAGTGAGACCATCTTGGAAAAGGATGGGACTAGTATTTCTTCTAAATCCAGTAGATTGGATCGATGGGCAGAACACATCAGGGATCAGTTCAATTGGCCTTCAGCCACACTTCGGTTACCTACGGTCTCCAGTCATCCTGAATGGCAAATCGATATAAGTCCTCCTAGTCTTTATGAAGTTGAGAAAGCTATAGGAAATCTAAAGCGAGGTAGAGCAGCAGGTCCTGATAGGCTAACTCCTGAGATTTTTAAGGATGGTGGTCCAGCTTTAGCAGCTAGATTGACTGAGATCTTAGGTAGAATCTGGTAACTAGGCGTAATGCAATTCGACTGGTCTCGATCACTGATTGTCCCAGTCTACCAGAAACGACGAAAGCCCTCTTGTGACAATCTCACGGGAAAACGTCTAACTAATATAGTTTTAAAATTGCTAACCTCCGTCATACTTGGACGCCTAACTAAAACACATGAAGAGCAGCCTCGAGAAAACCATGCTGGTTTTCGACCTGGACGTGGATTTATAGACCTTATCTTCACACTACGACAGGTTTTGGAACACACACAAATTTAGGCATCCTACAATAGTTGTCTTCCTGGACTCAAAGGCGGCATTTGACTCAGTGGATCGTAAGGTCCTGTGGCAGTATCTGTCGTTGAAAGGTGTACCAAATAACTATATTAACATTATACAAGCTCTTTACTCGAACACTACAGGTCGATTGAGAGCTTATAGCGAACTGTAATCCGAACTGTAATCTAGTGGTGTCCGCCACGGATGTCCACTCTCTCCATTCTTGGTTGATTTTATCATAGACATGCTGCCACATATAAGAAGGATTTGATTTTGACCAATTCGGTCTCGCGCGCTGCTACGGTATGAGGGCGGTGGTCACTTCTCGGCTTCCCACACTGGAAGGTTGTTACTTGAGGCACCTGAAAACGAAGGTAGATTAGCGTTGGTCTTAGAGACCTGAGAGCGTAACCGTGGAGTTCAAGGGATAACTGCTTCAGGCCGGTCACACACGGCCTTTATATGGAAGGTTTTTTGAGTATTAGCTCCGCTCTTACAAGCCCTTATTGGGCACCCTTACCGCCGAATACGGAAACCCGTGAAGTAGGGTTAAGTGTAACAATTTTAGTGTCGACCTTTTCTAAACCTTCCTTCCTTGTGAGAAGGCAGCATCGCTGCAGATGCTGGTTGTCCGAGGGAAACACCTTACCTCTGTCGCAGCCCTCTGCAGTCAGCAGTACGACTTCGCCCTCAGACCTTGAGTAGTTGTTCTTGTCTCATCGTTCTCCAATCGACCTGCCTGGTATTGTAGAGCCTCCAGGAACATATGTTCAATCATCACGATAGGCAAGCCCGACCACCACGCCAAGGTAGCAGCTACGGACGGGTGCTAGATATAACATTATCTCCGTCCGACTTTTCAGGAGTCGACTTTCTACCAATTAAACCACTTGCTGACTTATAATATGCCGATGACATAGTTCTATTCGGTGAAGACGCTGACAAAATGTAGAGTCTTCTGATTATCTTAAACAACAATGCAAGCATGTTCGGGATGCGGTTTTCCCCGTCGAAATGCGAAAGTTTGCTTCAAGATTGGGTTGCATCGGTACCTGAACAAGTGATAGGCAATGAAGTAGTCGAGCGTGTAGACCGCTTCACTTATCTTGGGAGACTCATCAGCGCTGATGGCCTGGTGACTGTCGAAATCTCAGCTCGGCTACAGAAGGCTTGATTTTCTTTCGCCAACCTGCGTCACTTGTGGCGCAGGCGAGATATCCATTTGCTAACTAAAGGACGAGTGTACCGTGCAGTAGTTCGCTCCGTCCTCCTATACGGATGTGAAATATGGCCGTTAAGAGTAGAGGAATTCCGTAGGTTACTAGTCTTCGATTATGGTTGTCTCCGAATTATTGCTCGTGTATCCTGAGACAACCATATAAGCAATGCTATAGTTTGGAAACGAGTACTAGGTAGGGATGGCAGATCAGTTGATGAAGTATTGAAACTTCGTCATTTGAGGTGGTTGGGACATGAATTACAAGTGCGCAACCACCAACTGCTTTGACGAGTTATGTTTTTTGGTGTAAAAGTAGGTTTGAAGAAAGCTAGGCGTGGCCAGACCAGAGCATGGCACACATCCATGAAGTGACTAACATGTGGACCGAGTCATGTTGGTAGATGTTGGCTACCTGGTTGGGGTCCGCGAGACGAAAGTCACCAATGGTTAGAGACCTTGAACGACATGACTCGAAACGTTTGCAATGGCGCAAGTGCATCCACTCTTTGTGTTCTATGAAATCCTAAACTTCTGAATTCCTCATAATCTCTATCTTTCTCCTTCTAGATTTATCTCACTTACTTACTTACTTACTTACTTACTTACTTACTTACTTACTTACTTACTTACTTACTTACTTACTTACTTACTTACTTACTTACTTACTTACTTACTTACTTACTTACTTACTTACTTACTTACTTACTTACTACTTACTTACTTACTTACTTACTTACTTACTTACTTACTTACTTACTTACTTACTTACTTACTTACTTACTTACTTACTTACTTACTTACTTACTTACTTACTTACTTACTTACTTACTTACTTAAGTAAGTAAGTAAGTAAGTAAGTAAGTAAGTAAGTAAGTAAGTAAGTAAGTAAGTAAGTAAGTAAGTAAAGTAAGTAAGTAAGTAAGTAAGTAAGTAAGTAAGTAAGTAAGTAAGTAAGTAAGTAAGTAAGTAAGTAAGTAAGTAAGTAAGTAAGTAAGTAAGTAAGTAAGTAAGTAAGTAAGTAAGTAAGTAAGTAAGTAAGTAAGTAAGTAAGTAAGTAAGTAAGTAAGTAAGTAAGTAAGTAAGTAAGTAAGTAAGTGAGATAAATCTAGAAGGAGAAAGATAGAGATTATGAGGAATTCAGAAGTTTAGGATTTCATAGAACACAAAGAGTGGATGCACTTGCGCCATTGCAAACGTTTCGAGTCATGTCGTTCAAGGTCTCTAACCATTGGTGACTTTCGTCTCGCGGACCCCAACCAGGTAGCCAACATCTACCAACATGACTCGGTCCACATGTTAGTCACTTCATGGATGTGTGCCATGCTCTGGTCTGGCCACGCCTAGCTTTCTTCAAACCTACTTTTACACCAAAAAACATAACTCGTCAAAGCAGTTGGTGGTTGCGCACTTGTAATTCATGTCCCAACCACCTCAAATGACGAAGTTTCAATACTTCATCAACTGATCTGCCATCCCTACCTAGTACTCGTTTCCAAACTATAGCATTGCTTATATGGTTGTCTCAGGATACACGAGCAATAATTCGGAGACAACCATAATCGAAGACTAGTAACCTACGGAATTCCTCTACTCTTAACGGCCATATTTCACATCCGTATAGGAGGACGGAGCGAACTACTGCACGGTACACTCGTCCTTTAGTTAGCAAATGGATATCTCGCCTGCGCCACAAGTGACGCAGGTTGGCGAAAGAAAATCAAGCCTTCTGTAGCCGAGCTGAGATTTCGACAGTCACCAGGCCATCAGCGCTGATGAGTCTCCCAAGATAAGTGAAGCGGTCTACACGCTCGACTACTTCATTGCCTATCACTTGTTCAGGTACCGATGCAACCCAATCTTGAAGCAAACTTTCGCATTTCGACGGGGAAAACCGCATCCCGAACATGCTTGCATTGTTGTTTAAGATAATCAGAAGACTCTACATTTTGTCAGCGTCTTCACCGAATAGAACTATGTCATCGGCATATTATAAGTCAGCAAGTGGTTTAATTGGTAGAAAGTCGACTCCTGAAAAGTCGGACGGAGATAATGTTATATCTAGCACCCGTCCGTAGCTGCTACCTTGGCGTGGTGGTCGGGCTTGCCTATCGTGATGATTGAACATATGTTCCTGGAGGCTCTACAATACCAGGCAGGTCGATTGGAGAACGATGAGACAAGAACAACTACTCAAGGTCTGAGGGCGAAGTCGTACTGCTGACTGCAGAGGGCTGCGACAGAGGTAAGGTGTTTCCCTCGGACAACCAGCATCTGCAGCGATGCTGCCTTCTCACAAGGAAGGAAGGTTTAGAAAAGGTCGACACTAAAATTGTTACACTTAACCCTACTTCACGGGTTTCCGTATTCGGCGGTAAGGGTGCCCAATAAGGGCTTGTAAGAGCGGAGCTAATACTCAAAAAACCTTCCATATAAAGGCCGTGTGTGACCGGCCTGAAGCAGTTATCCCTTGAACTCCACGGTTACGCTCTCAGGTCTCTAAGACCAACGCTAATCTACCTTCGTTTTCAGGTGCCTCAAGTAACAACCTTCCAGTGTGGGAAGCCGAGAAGTGACCACCGCCCTCATACCGTAGCAGCGCGCGAGACCGAATTGGTCAAAATCAAATCCTTCTTATATGTGGCAGCATGTCTATGATAAAATCAACCAAGAATGGAGAGAGTGGACATCCGTGGCGGACACCACTAGATTACAGTTCGGATTACAGTTCGCTATAAGCTCTCAATCGACCTGTAGTGTTCGAGTAAAGAGCTTGTATAATGTTAATATAGTTATTTGGTACACCTTTCAACGACAGATACTGCCACAGGACCTTACGATCCACTGAGTCAAATGCCGCCTTTGAGTCCAGGAAGACAACTATTGTAGGATGCCTAAATTTGTGTGTGTTCCAAAACCTGTCGTAGTGTGAAGATAAGGTCTATAAATCCACGTCCAGGTCGAAAACCAGCATGGTTTTCTCGAGGCTGCTCTTCATGTGTTTTAGTTAGGCGTCCAAGTATGACGGAGGTTAGCAATTTTAAAACTATATTAGTTAGACGTTTTCCCGTGAGATTGTCACAAGAGGGCTTTCGTCGTTTCTGGTAGACTGGGACAATCAGTGATCGAGACCAGTCGAATTGCATTACGCCTAGTTACCAGATTCTACCTAAGATCTTAGTCAATCTAGCTGCTAAAGCTGGACTACCATCCCAAAAAATCTTAAAAGTAAGCCTGTCAGGACCAGCTGCTCTGCCACGCCTTAGATTTCCTACAGCTTTCTCAACTTCATAAAGACTAGGAGGACTTATATCGATTTGCCATTCAGATGACTGGAGACCGTAGGTAACCGAAGTGTGGCTGAAGGCCAATTGAACTGATCCCTGATGTGTTCTGCCCATCGATCCAATCTACTGGATTTAGAAGAAATACTAGTCCCATCCTTTTCCAAGATGGTCTCACTCACATTAGGGTTCCTAATACCAGTTTCCTTGGTCAGTCGGAAAAGTTGTCTACTGTTGCCTATCACCGCTGCCTTTTCCATCGCTTTCGCCACCCACAGCTTTTCACGGTCGTTGCGTAGGCTTTTTATCAGCATGCGCTTAAGCTTACTTCGCTTTTCATTATGTCCAGAGCCAGGTGGGATGAGTTTTCGAGCATCCATCAGTTCGGTGGATGCTACTGAGATCCACGGCTTCATCCTAACCTTATGGTTTACCTTGCTAGCAGATATCGCTGCTGTTTACACAGCCTTTTTGATAGCATTCCAACCTGCCTCCGGATGGAAATCACTTACATGGTTGTCTAAATCTCTTTCTAGTTGTTCCTGGGATATATTAATTGAAGCCCTAAGAGGCTTTCTGACGGTGTCTTTCCTGCGTCCAGTAAGCTTCAAACAAATACGCGCTCGCACTAGGGCATGATCTATATCTAAACGTGTGCACCAGAACGAGCGACAGTGTTCTATCGAACACCTCTCCATCCGTGGCTGATGGCTATTTGATCTAGTTGGGTCCAACGTTGAGACGACTTTGGAGGTCGCCAGATCAACAGATGCTTTTCCTTATGCCTAAAGTTAGTGTTTGCTAAGTATAGGCGGTTATCTGAGCATACTTGCAACAGACGGTCGCCATTGTCTGTTCTCTGAGCCGCGACACCATAACATCCACCTAGGTGTCTTTCATTTTCGCTCAGTCTACCTAATTGAGCATTAAAGTCACCAGCCATTATTACTACATCAGAGTGCCTAACTTTTTGGAGGTCCGAAAGCTTTCTGTAAAACTCATCTTTAACCTCCTCTGCACTGCAGTCAGTGGGGGCATAGGCAGATACGACGAAGAGGCAACGGCGAGTGTCCCTATCCTTCCGAGTCCTTACTGTCCCGTTTGGTCGGACAACGCACAAGGGACTATCTACTGGGTCCAGCCAAGGAGCACTAGTTCTACCCTACGGCCCAATGCTATGCCTACACCAGCGAGACCCCGGGAAGCAGCATCAGGACTACCGGATGCACGAAGTGTAAATTGGGCTGCTTCTTTGTTTTGATAAGGTGAAATCAAATTAATGATTTTACTAGGATCCTGTATGCGCGTTTCCGAGACGTAGCATACATCGATTGAGCGAGATTCTAATGTCCTAGTTAATGATGCCTTTTGCCTTATTTGACACACTGTCCGTACATTAAATGCTCCAACATGTAATTTAGAAAGACGTTTCAGGAGACCAGGGTTCACGTTTCGTGAACTCGCATTGTTTGCATTAGCTGTGCAGTGTGATAAAGGAATCTGAGAAGGGTTAGTCGTGGAAATAATAAAGATATTAGGGGGTATAGTAAGGATTTGATTTTGACCAATTCGGTCTCGCGCGCTGCTACGGTATGAGGGCGGTGGTCACTTCTCGGCTTCCCACACTGGAAGGTTGTTACTTGAGGCACCTGAAAACGAAGGTAGATTAGCGTTGGTCTTAGAGACCTGAGAGCGTAACCGTGGAGTTCAAGGGATAACTGCTTCAGGCCGGTCACACACGGCCTTTATATGGAAGGTTTTTTGAGTATTAGCTCCGCTCTTACAAGCCCTTATTGGGCACCCTTACCGCCGAATACGGAAACCCGTGAAGTAGGGTTAAGTGTAACAATTTTAGTGTCGACCTTTTCTAACCCTTCCTTCCTTGTGAGAAGGCAGCATCGCTGCAGATGCTGGTTGTCCGAGGGAAACACCTTACCTCTGTCGCAGCCCTCTGCAGTCAGCAGTACGACTTCGCCCTCAGACCTTGAGTAGTTGTTCTTGTCTCATCGTTCTCCAATCGACCTGCCTGGTATTGTAGAGCCTTCAGGAACATATGTTCAATCATCACGATAGGCAAGCCCGACCACCACGCCAAGGTAGCAGCTACGGTCGGGTTGGTTGAAATCAATGTCTTAGCCGCTAGGTCACCAGAAAACTCTATGGTTTGAAAAATTTCTTTCGCATAAATATGCTCAGATTATAGTTTGATTACATATCCCAATGCAACTTTTCCGCTTGCTATGGTCTACGGTGATATTTTCAGGGAGAGGGGCCTACAAGAATCTAAAGAATGAAATATGAAGTCGAATGACTATCACTTCTGTATTTTCGTTACTGTGATCAGGTGAAGATTAGATGTCATCACAATTAATTTTGTGTTATTATCTTCAAGCAGTGACGGATATGTATCGTTATGGTTCGAAATTTTATAATGCAAACAATATCACTAGTCTTGTCTCTAATAATCATCAAATAAGTACTAAGATTGTACTAAAAATATCATGAACAAACGATGAAGAAAAGAAACCTTACTAGCTTGTGCAGCTAAAAGAGCTTGTAATGGGCGTAAAAACAACATAATCACAGACATCAAAGGAAATATCGATATTGAACTGCCTGAAATCCACATGATGAACAGATTCATTGGAACTTGTCGGAATGGTCCCAATGCAATGTTCCAACTTCGCTGACGCATTAGATGTGGGTCGGAGTCACGAACGGCAGTAGTTGGGAATGAACGATCAACATATCCTGGAGGATGCTTCAGTTCAGGAGTATTCGCTTGGTTCGGAGTAGTAGTACGTAATCTGTATAAAAAATTATTCATCGATATAAATACATACATACTTGGAATTGAAATCTAAAGCCCATTTTTTCGACAAAAAGCTGAAGACACTACTTTCATTAAATGAAACACACGACGTCATTTTTTGCAGAAGCAAGTTTACCAACGTTCGTTTAAACGAGACTCTTTATTATGTTCTATGTAGAAAGCTTATAATGGTTGTGAATGATCTTTAAGCATAACTGAATATTTTCCGTTACTTACATTCTGATAAAGTTCGGTATTTTGAGTGAGATTTTCCGTGAATTCCAAATTGATCTATTTCGGTAATTTCCTGGGAAACGTCAACACAATGGACGATTCACTAAGATAAAGTAAAAGAGGAAATGGACAACTAAGCCAGTTGATAGATCATATCATTAAATGATCACACAAAGATATAAAATATCACTCATTAATGTTTCTGCAGGCATAGAGGTAAAATGTAGCAGTACCATTTAAAAAGCACTAGTATAAAACGTTTTTCAATATAGTATGTGACCGCTACCATCTTTAAATTATTTTTTTACGAACTTACCACAATCAAAGCGGGTAAACCAAAATAGTTATAAAAGTTCGGCCACATGTCCAAAAATTGTCATAAAATCATTCGCGCAGCTTGTACATTATATATAAGCTTCCTGCAAACATATCTCTCATCAACTAGTCGGGCTAGGTACTTTCCAAAGCTACCAATGTTGACAACTACTTGGTAGGAATCCCGACCGAAATAGTTGACTACACGAGCTGATTTGACCTGTATATCGCGATGACCGAACTGAACTATATCTCATGGAACGCATATTCCTTTACAACCTGGCATTCCAGGAAGGTAGATAAGACTATGAGGGGATTCTGAATCCGAGGTACTACTGCTAAATGTATACCATTGTGACATTAGTAGAGTGTTTACCTTCAACACACATCTGCAGCACTGAGGCCGTCTCACAACGGAAGATGAGTTGAGGAAAGCTCGATCCCAAGGATTTAAAGACTCACCTGATCTCACGGAAAACCATCTCCAAGGAAAGCCCGTTTAAACAGCGGAGGATACACTCTACAAACATCCCATAAGAAGGTCATGCGTGACCGGCCTCAAACAGTTGTCCCTAGGAATCCGCCGTCACGCTTCCAGGTCACCATAACCAACTTCGATCCGATTTCCTTTTCAGGTCCTTCAAGGAATACCGTTCCATGGTGTGGGCAGCCAGGAAGTGACATCCGCCCTCATACCCATAACAGCACACGAGACCGAATCGGTCACATTAAGATCTTTCTAACACTTCTTTTCACCATAACTATTGGAATATTATTCTCGGTTGGAGAGACGCAATGGACTACAGTAGGGTCTACTAAACCGATGCCATAGTCTATTTGTCAGCAACAATGTAGAATTCCGTACGTACGCACACTTGTCCAGGTTGCCAGACCACATTAGCAAATAGTTTAAATCCCATACCAGTAGATGTAGCAAAAGTATTAGCTATTTTCAAGGAGATTAGGGATCAACGACATGTTTCGAGAAATGTAATCAAGTGAAACAAACATAAAAAGCGAAAGATAGAGGTGATGCGAGACACTGATTGCATCACAGCTGAGAATATGTTCAAAAAGGAGAATTGAAAAAGAATGAGTCAGATGATGGCTAAGATTTAGGCTTCTGGTTTACTAACTGTGGCAACTGAAAGTGGTGGTTAATTGCACTATAACCAAAGTAGATGAACAAGTATTTCCAAAGTTCCACTCGCTAGTACTCCTTTTATAGGTAATTAAGGAAATAAACAATCAAGTATGACAGTAATAAACAAATAAATAGACTGCACACTCTATAAAGTCTATAAAGAAGCCTATCAATCATATTATGCAACATACAGGCGAATACGAACTACGTAAGGTTTGTAACGTTATCTCGGAACTTGACGCCAATCGCAATGCCCAATATCTAACATACGAGCATGTTTAGATCTCAACTTCGGTTATACTTAAGATAAATATGTCCAATTACCGATGTCTTCTTCACGAGCTAGTATAAACCAATTGATTTCTTTGCGCTCGACTCTTGTTCTTTCGGTAAGGTTTCAGGTGTTTGGTAGTGTCCAATGGATGGTGGTCTAGCCACTCGACTGCACTAATTCTAGTCAGTTGGCAGTTGCTTGTGAGTTTGTATGTCCCGTGATTCAGATGAGAACGTTTGTTTTAGGAAAGTAGGGTTTCTGGATACCGACAGCTATCACTTTATCAGGCCGGAGGTCAGTTAGTTGCAATGTGGAGAATAATAAGGAGAAAAGTCTAATGCTAATAAAAAGAAGATTTCAGAACTAAGTAAATAAATAGATAATTTAGTTTATGAATCGATAGTGAAGATTGTGTCACAAGGCCGAAGTGTAAGCAAGGGAGAGGAAACAGAGATAAATTGCATGGTAAATTCAGTCAGTGATCGGAGGAGATGGCAATAATAACTAGCGAGTCTCAAGACATACATCAAGCACTGCTGGTCGATGAGAGAGATGATAATCCGTATGTGAGTATGTGTTTATCAAGTCTCTTCTTGAAGCTGTTCGTTGAGGGGACTGTGTTCACCTCGGCTGGGAGAGCATTCCTCATAATCCAGTCGATCACCAGGAGAAAGAGAAAGGGTGAGAGTAAGCAACCTTGCCTGACACCGGTATTCACCTCGAAAGAGTCTGTTAGCTGTCCCTCGTGTACGATTTTGCAGTTGAATCGATCATAAGAATTCCGTATGATGTTAACTGTTTTCTCAGGCACACCGTAGTGTCGAAGAAGCCTCCACAGTGTTTTCCTATCCATGCTATCAAATGCTTTCTCGTAGTCGATGAAGTTGATGTAGAGTGGTGAGTTCCATTCAACTGATTGTACCACACTGATCCGTGATGTAGCAATTTGGTCAGTACATGATCGATGCTTACGAAATCTGGCCTGTTGGTCTCGAAGTTGGGCGTCTACGAAGTCCTTCATTCTGTATGACAATACTCTGTTGAAGAATTTGCCTGGTATTGAAAGAAGAGTGATGCCCCTGTAGTTCTCACACTTGCTCAGATCGCCTTTCTTTGTTACTTTGATCAGGTATCCTTCTTTCCGGTTTGACGGTACTTGTTCCTCATCCCAAATCTTCTTGAAAAGAATGTAAATTATATATGCAGTTGCTTCCACGTCTGCTTTGATTGCCTATGCTGGAATGTTGTCTGGTCCTGCTGGTTTGCCGCTCTTGATTTGTCTGATGGCCATACTGATCTCCTCAATCGTAGGTGTGCCAATATTAATTGGGAGGTCCGTGGATGCTGCTTCGATGTTGGGTGGGTTCAGTGGAGCTGGTTGATTCAAGAGTTACTTGCTTTGTTGTATCGTACAATTGTCTCAAGTTTCCGTCCCTTGCAGCCTTTTCCGCCGTCATTGCTAGACCTTCCACATATTTTCGTTTGTCAGCTCTGATGCTCTTCTTTACTTTTCTGTTTGCTTCTGTGTATGCAGCTTTTGCCTAAACTTTCGCTGCTTTTGTTCGGCTGACGTTGATTACCGCCTTTTTGTTCTTCCTTTCTTCAATTTTTTCAAGAGTACCAACAGAGATCCATTTCCTGTGATGGTACTTACTGCGACCCATTGTTTCCAGCACATTGTTTCATGACTATCGAGCGATTGTTGTCAGATTCTGGTGACTTTGCTTGAGTGAGGAGTAAGTGGAATAATCCCCAGGTTTTCATCCTGCGCTAGGTTTGATTAGTACTCTAAAAGTGTAGGTACTTGTTTTAACTGATCGCTGAAGATTTAAATCATCTCGAGGCCAGTTTGCATTTCGCCTTTTGGACCTTTGAGGGCACAAACACTCTAGTCCGTAGGTTTTCTTTTAGTCATGAACCGAAGCAGATATATTGTGATTGACAGTATTTTGGCAGCTAGCTACATCTGGAGGTGTTTCCTATCACTTCGAACTTAGGAATTGCGTCTGTTTCTCAATGCCAAGTGAGGACTATGGTTGGAATACTTCCACCTGCTCCAGGCCCTCCTTTTCGCCTGTGGCAAGTGTTCACTGCTTGGATTAACCGAAGTTCTTCTTTTATCAAGTGCCTTTCAATGTTTACCAGTGATTATCTACTGTGATCCCCCTTCATTCTCGTGGCCATAGAGCATGCAAAGGATTCCCTCTCATGCACGCGTAATGTGCCCCAGTGTAGTAAACGTAGGACCATGTTAAACATGACTGTGCACGGTCACCACATACTATTGGTGTATGGACGAGGACGTCCGCGACCAGGAGCTGATCACTTGTCAACTAATAATCCAAGTTTGATGATTTTCTTTCCTTAGTACATCTGGTGCACCTCTGGAGTAACAACAATTGTCGGATTTTCAAACACATTATTCAAACAGATTTAGTTTGTGTAGTGTATTAAATCGACGAGAACATGATTTTGCGTTTGTGCCGTGCGTTGCTGATCGAGGTGCAAAGTAATTTGTGTGTGCTCATCATAATTATAATTGTTGCTATTTATTTTCAAATAACAACATGTAGGAAGAAACATGCCAATTTACAAGCAAGAACAACATAGTGAAATGGACAACATATTTTTGTATAATGTAGTCAAATAACTTTATTAATACGTGAGAAAAATCTTCTTCATGTAGACTGTAATTAGGGTCATGGTTTATAATTGGGCAGGATGTTACAGACGAGAGGTCATATATTGTTTTGCAGAAGAGCGGTGAGCTGTTCTCATACTAACTTCATCTTTCTGTGTAGTCGAATATACGGTTTCGTCCTAGAAGCCACCACATGAAGCCTCCTGCGACATTTTCTGCCGGTGCCGTGTCTATGATATTCATGTTCGAAAATATAAGTGAGCGGCATTCAAGGCACAGCCTTATACACATTTTGAACATTGTAAGCTTAGCCTCATATGTCAACAAGTTCTTATTTATAAACCCTATGAGCGATAGTGTTTCGGACTCTGCCATGTACAATGCGATAGTCGGTGAGAGTTACGATGGTTACGTTACGACGAACCACTAATGGCCGAGAACCAATACAAGGTAAATTCGGGTCTACATATGATAATAACTGATGGAGTAAATATGCAAAGAACTTCTTGTTGATATTCATGAGATAATAAATTTACAGGCTCCTGGGCAAAGTAACCATGTCTTGGGCTATTATTCGGACTAAAGTTTAAGGATTAGAGTAAGGCAGTGAAAAAGATAAGAGAAAGGGTTGAGAAGCTGAACACAATATATTCTTGTTTAAAGCTGAGTCAGGACTCTGCAGATAATATTTTTGGATAAAATAAAGGTAAGCTTACTCAGACGTTCTGTATTGGGAAACTAACTGTACACCTGCACTTATGTAGGTTACTGAAGACTAGTCACTAGTAAGATAATGAACGGTCATTTAATCGTATGAATAGAGGAAATTCAGAAGAACTGAATTGTTAGAAATAATACTGATTACCAAAATATAATAATGATAATTCACAATGATCTGATGCTATAGTGGTTTTTTATTTATCCTTTTTCTTTTTAACGCTGTTGTTACGGGAGAAACGAAGACATTTTGCTGATCAAAACCTTCATGTATAAATATCATTAATTTCACTGTCTTTTGGGTATATTTGTTTTACTTAACTTATGAACTTGTTTGAATTATTATTTGCGGACATATTGGACTCCCGTTTCTCTTTGTTGTTCGTTGCAGTTTTTTGCTCCAAGAGATAATAAATTAGAAGAACGACATTGGTCGTCTATTTGTAATAAAATATTTTGGTCGAATTTGTGATTTGGAATAAACTTTGGTATCTACTTTGGAGTTTCGTTCTTGGTATAGAAATTTGGGACCGTGAATTACAAATAGACGACAACAGTGCTTCGTAAGATCAACGAGCAAAAAACTGGACGTAACAGCTGTCTCTCAAGAAGTCACGAGTGAGTTCGTTTTCACCATAATTTTCTAGATTTTCTTGCAATAGGATTTCTCGGTACGAAGTGAAACCAGTGCAAGTTTATAAACATGAGTCGTAGACATGGGTAACAAGGAAAAGTAGCATCAATTCCATTGATTAGTTACATCCTGCTATATCGTAATGAGCCGTAAGGAAAGAAATTTTCTGCCATACAAACACGGGTAGATTGAGGTTATCGCCCCACCGTCATCAATGCTGGTCAGATACACCACCCTCCCACCTTTTGTGCTGTTAGGGTCTCTTACGCATGATGGTAGACTTTGGATAATGTTTTTAATCTAAGCTCCATTTTTGTGCACATTGTAGGATTTCAATGTCTCTGCTTGCTCCATGTTACAAGCAAACCAAACATGTTGCATGTTAGACTACATATCTATGTAGCATATCACACTGCTATTGAGTTAACCACTGATATAAATTTTAAGATATGTGTAAGTTGATAGGTAGTTTACAGATAGGGGGATAGGCGGCTGACAAAAGAAAATGAAGAAAAATAGTGCTAAAAATTGATGAGTGAGGAGATACGAGTAGCACCTCAATGACGTGACCTATTACTGTTAATTTGTGTAAGGTGATTGAAATCACGCAAAGATCACAGTCCGAAGATGTTATTCAAGAAGAATAATTCTGTGAAATAAATTTAAACAGAGGAAGATAGAGGTGATGTGGATTTCAAAAGATGAGAATTTGAGAGACCTCAAATAATGGGTGCACCTGCGCCATAGCAAACGTTTTTCAGCCATGTCACTCAAGATCTCTAACCATCCACTAGTTTCATATCGCGGACCACAAACCGCTAGTTTACACCTGTCAACATGACACAACTCACTTGTCAGTGACCGCATGGATTTGTGCCATACTTTCGTTTGGTCACACCTAGCTTTCTTCCTACCTAATCTTACACCACAAAACATCGCTCGTCGAGGCAGTCGGTGGTTAGACATACACAACACAAGTCGCAACCACATCAACTGATTGAGTTTCAGTACTTTATCATTAGTTTAACATCCTAAACTAGTACTCGTTTCTTAAAAATAACATCACTAACTCGATGTTCCTGGGATATACAAGCCATTTTTTGGAAAATGACAAAAACCAGTAACGTACGATATCTTCCAATATGACTGGCCATGTTTCGCAGCCATATAGTAGGACGGAGCGAAATGCTGCGTAGTACACTCACCCATTGGTTAGGAAACGGATACTTTGCCTACGCCATAAGTGATGCGAGTTGATAAAAGCCTATCGAGCCTTCTGTATCCGTACTGAGATTTCTTCACACACAAGGCCATCAGCACCTGCGATTATCTGAGCGTAGTTACAGCAGACGGTCACTATTAACTGTTCTTTGTACCACGATCCGCCGTCTTATTTTCAGATTCGTTTAGTCTACTGACTTGAACGATTAAGTCACCTGTCAAGTTTACTGTATCAGAGCACCTAATTTTTGAAGGAGGTTGGAAAAGTT